CAAATTCGGCCTCAGACACTTACTAGCTGTGTGATCCTGGGCAAGTCACTTCATCCTGCTTGCCTCAGTTTCCACATCTGTACAATGAGCTGGAGAAGGAAATGGCAAACCATTCTAGTATCTTTGCCAAGAAAACCCCAAATGGGGTCACCAAGAGTGACAAAACTGAACAATAACAAGAGAGCAGAAAGATTTAGAAGGGGGTCGTTTGCTGTTGTCTATCCTTCATTCTCCAAGAGGACCATGATATCAGGGAGGTGATGTCATGCCTTGCAAGTGAATTGGGTTTAAGTGAAGGAGGGCTGTGCAAAGTCACCTGCCTCACTCTCTCCTTCATAGCCATCTGGGCCTTTTTTTGGTTTGGTTTTGTTTGGTTTTTATTCAGTTTTATTTTATTTTCAGTTCCAAATTCTCTCCTTCCTCCCCCACCCCTATCAAATGAAAGAAAAACAAAAGTGATCACAAATGTATGTAGTCATGCAAAACAAATTCCTGAATCATACATGTCCAAAAATAAAAAGGAAAGAAAAGAAAAATGTCCTTCAATCTGCACTCTTAAGTCCATCACTTCTCTATCTAGAGGAGGAAAGCACATTTCATCACAAGTCCTTTGGAACTATGGTTGTTAACCATGTTAATCAGAGTTACTAAGTCTTTCAGAGATAACAGTTTATATGATATTGTTGCTATTGCATAAATTGTTCCCCTGATTCTGCTTTTTTTGCATCAGTTCATATAAGTCTTCCCAGGTTTTTCTTAAACTATGCCCACCATGATTTCTTACAGCACAACAGCATTCCATCATATTCTCATACTTGTTCAGCCACTCTCCAACTGATGGGTATCCCCTCAATTAACAACTCTTTGCCATCACAAACAGGGCTGCAGTAATATTTTTGTACATGAATCCTTTTCCTCTTTCTCTGATCTTTTTAGGGGTATGCTTCTTTTGATTCTTATGTTTGCATGTCAGATTTTTTACTCAGTTCTAGTCTTTTCATCAAGAATGCTTTGAAGACCTCTATTTTGTTAAAGATCCATCCCCCCCTCCCATTGTAGAATTATACTCAGTTTTACTGGGTAGGTTATTCTTGGCTGTGAGCCTAGATCCTTAACCCTTACAGAGGTTCCCAAACTTATTTGGCCTACTGCCCCCATTTTAAAAAAATTACTCAGGGGGCAGCTAGGTGGCGCAGTGGATAGAGCACTGCCCCTGGATTCAGGAGGACCTGAGTTCAAATCCAGCCTCAGACACATAACACTTATTAGCTGTGTGACCCTGGGCAAGTCACTTAACCCCATTGTCTAGCCAAAAACAAAACACAAAATAAAAAAAAAATTACTCAGCACCCCACCCCATCTACTTTCTTTAACCCTTTAATGTTTTAAAAAAATTTTTGTCACTTCAAACTACTGCTGTGACACTTCCCCTCCCCAATTGTTCCAGCACCATCCCCCTTTTCCAGGGTATTCCAAGTGCTCCATTCCTTCAATGTGGTGGTTGCTAAATTGTGTGTGATCCTGACTGTGACTCCTCAGTACTTGAATTGTTTCTTCTGGCTACTTGCAATGTTTTCTCCTTAACCCAGGAGCTGTGGATTTTGGCTATAATATTCGTGAGAATTTTCATTTGGGAATTTCAGGAGGTGACCAATGGCTTCTTTTCAACTCCCATCTTGGCCTCTGGCTCTAAGATATTTGGGTAGTTTGATTTCATGATTTCTTAAAGTATGATGTTTAGGTTCTTTTTTCATTCCTAGCTTTCAGAGTCCAGTGATTCTTAAATTAACTCTCCTTGATCTGTTTTCCAGGTTAGTTGTTTTTCCAATGAGATAGTTCACATTTTCTTCAATTTTTTTTCAGACTTTTGACTGTTTTATGTCTTGATGTAGCATGGTGTCATTAGCTTTCATTTGACCAATTCTAATTTTCAAGGAATTACTTTCTTTGGTAAGTTTTTTTTAACCTGTTTTTCCAAGCTGTTGAGTCTCTTTTAATATCTTTCTTCCATAGCTCTCATTTGTTTTTTGTTTTTTTACTCATCTTTAACTCTCTCTTTTTTTTAACTTTTAATTCTTCTGGGAATTCTTGTTGAACTTCTGTGTAAGCTACATTTTTCTTGGAAGCTTTGCTTGCAGTTGTTTTCAAATAATTCTTTTTCTTTTTTGTGTCTTGAATTTCCTGTTACAATAGTAGCTCTTTATGGTGGAGGGTTCTTTTTTTTTTTTAATTTTAGTGAGGCAATCAGGGTTAAGTGACTTGCCCAAGGTCACACAGCTCGTACGTGTCAAGTGTTTGGTCTGAGGCTGGATTTGAACTCAGGTCCTGCTGACTTCAGGGCCGGTGCTCTATCCACTGCGCCACCTAGCTGCCCTCTTTTTTCCCTTAATTCAAGCCTTTCCTCCTCCCTTGTCCAAATCTAGAATCTAAGGGGATTATTTCTCCTCAAACTCTTTAAGATGTCAAATTTACCAAGGCAGTGTATCCAGAAGGATCAGGTTGACTGTTTCCTTATGAATGAATGTTTCACCTGACCTAGGTCTCCATTCAGTGCTGCTGACCAGATCCTTCTCTCGAAGTCCATCTCATCTACGGACTGCTGCACGCTGGGCACGGCATTCTGGTGAGAGCAGCAGGAGGTGTCCACTGCCCCAGTTCACTCCATCTGGGCCTTTTCAAGCTAAGGTTTTTCTCAGTTTGTCTAAGTCAACACCCATTCAGTGATTAAGGCTAGGTAAGAAATGAGGCAAAAAATGCCTCTTTTACCTACTCAAAGGAAAAAAAAATCAATCTGGGAAGGGAAGACTTTCCTCAGGTTTCTAACCAGAACAGAATTTCCCATTTTTACAATTTTTTTTGTTGAACATTAATACATTGAAATGTGCATGCTAAGTTCATGTTACATAATTTAAGTTCATTCACTTATGCTAAATTCATAATTCAAAAAAAAAACTTAATTTGTCTGTAATTTCTACCTGGGTAATTATGAAGACCAATGGATGCTTAAAATACTTAACAATTATAAAGAACCAGCCTCATATGAAATTGAATAATTACTGTCTGGTCATTGCATATGCTGTAGTGATGAAGATGTAGTAACAGAATCTGTTACTCCCTCACAGAGGGGAGATAAGGCAAAACAGAGAAGTAGCAAACAAGGGGAGACATTGTAATGAAAGCTCTAAATTGTGTAAAAGGGCCCCAAATCACTGCCTTTCTTAGAAGCCACATTCTTCACACTCATGCCTGGGTCTGACACCTGAATCTCTCTGATTCCCTTCCTGAAAGGGCTCTTACATACAGAGGAATTTACTATGTGTCAGGCCAATGTTTACCACCCCACCCCTTTTCCCCAAACATACTGCAATGGAAAGAAATTCATAGAAGGCCTGGTTGAGTTAGCCCCTTGTGGAAAGGGGAAAGAGACCTGTGTCACTTTCTTAGTATCCTGGACCCCTGGTGCAGGCTGGTGCAGCCTGGAATCCCTTGGGAGGGGTGGGAGGTTGGGGGGAGGCCTTCTCTTGAAAATCACAGAAAAATATGATGTAGGATTACAAGGGAAACTAATTGTATTTAAAGCTGTTGTTGAGTTTTTAAGTTCCTGGTAAACAACTTGAAGGCTGAGTGCACGGATGAAGAATGTGGACCTTGGGACAGCTAGGTGGCACAGTGGATAGAGTGTTGGCCCTGGAGTCCAGAGGACCCGAGTTCAAATTTCATCTCAGACCAGACACTAGACACTTACTAGCTATGTGACCCTGGCAAGTCATTTAACCCCAATTGCCTCACCAAAAAGCAAAAAAAAAAAAGAAATGTGGTCCTCATTGAGAACAGGCGGTAAAGAAAGAGTAAAGGGAGAGGGAAGAGGAACAAGGGAAGTGGGGAGAAGGAGCAAAAAAGGGAGAGAACAAGGGATATTGACAGCTGACTGACTGGGGACAGACCCAAGGTGCCAATTGGGACAAATATTTTTTTTTTAATTTTTAGGCAATTGGGGTTAAGTGACTTGCCCAGGGTCACACAGTTAGTGGTGTGTTTGATCTGGGGCTGCATTTGAACTCAGGTCCTCCTGACTCTAGGGCTGATGCTCTATCCACTGTGACGACTTAGCTGCCCGCGAGACAAATATTTTTGGACTTGGTCAACATTAACCATGGATGTTGGCTTCTTCTTTTTCTTTTTCAAGGTGTAGAAAAGGGCGGGTGGGAGAAGGTAAGAGAAACCAGTACTGTGTCAAGTCTAAAAACTAATGACCAAAGGCACAGCAGTTATGCAACCGTCGTTAACTGAAAATACCAAAGAGCTCACACAGGTTATCCCAACCAGTTAACTCTACGAAATAAAATAAAATAAAGTAAAATAAAATAAAATAAAAACAAAGAGCTAACAGAGGGCATAAGCAGAAAACTTGCTTTATTCCGTTGGAGGATGGTAACTAGACATGTTGCAGGGTGACTTCTCTAGGAAACCTGCTTTTTGTGAGGCTAAATCTTATTTTTTGGGGGGAGGGCTAGGCAGTGGGGTTAAGTGGAGGCTAAATCTTAATACATATAGGAATAATACACAATAACACTAATAACACATAACATTAACAATTGCACAAGTTTGATTCATAGGAGGGCTGCATGACCGAAAGTGGGTCTTGTGGGTAGTCTGAGCTCAGGGACCACCTGGGGCTGGTGTGAAACAATCCTGGGGTTTTGCTCAGGCTGAGCTCAGCAGAGGAACGCAAAGGATTGTTGTTATGCCAAGCTCAGGGCGGAGTCTTGCGGGAAGCCTAGAACTGCTCTCTCTCTGGGGGACGGGGTGGCCGTAGCTCCAGCGTCCTGGGAGAGGGGAGGGGGAAGAGGGGGAGGGGGAGGGGAGGGAGAAGGAGGAGAGGGAGGGGGAGGAGGAGGAAGAGGAGAGGGAGGGGCAGGAGGAGGAAGAGGAGAGGGAGGGGCAGGAGGAGGAAGAGGAAAGGGAGGAGGGGGAGGGGGAGGAGCAGGGAGAGGGGCGGAGGAAGCAGATGGAGCCGCGGAGGAAGAGGCGGGGGCTGCCAGCTGCAGCCAGGAAGAGACGGAGACCCAGGGAGGGAGCCCCCCGAGCCTGCACCATGAGCGTCCCGGACCCCCGCGACGGGGACTTCTCGGCCCCAGGTGGGAGGGGAGGGGCGCCCCCGACCAGAGCCTCCCCTGCTCCACCTTCACCCCTGCGCCCCTCCTCCAGCCTCCTAGCCCCTTCTCTTTCTCTTCCCTTTGCCGATCTATCTCCCCCTTATTCCTCCTCTCCCTCTTTTTCCTCTTCCCCTTCTCCCCCATTCCCTCTTCCTCCCTTCCCCTTCTCCTCCACTTCCCCCTTTTCTCCTCTCTTCCCACCTTTCTCCTCCCCTTTCTCTCCCCCTCCCCCCTCTCCACTTTTCTGCCCCTCCCCATTTGCAGGGGGAGCCCTTGGCTGCTCTTACTCCAAGTCCCTCCCCCTCCGACCCCCCGCTGTGAGCCTCCGTTCTTAACGGGCAAAGCGCCGGCTTGGGTCGGAGCGTGTGTCCGGTGCCTCTCTCCTTTCCTTCAGGAGCCCTTGCCGCCTGTTTTCCAGCTCCTTTTCTTCCCTCTGGCCCTCCTTTTTTGGGGGGAGGTTCTACTTTTGCTGTAACAGGAGCCGCAGCACCATCTGCTGCATGAATCCTTATCTGACCCCCCCCCACTGCCTCCAGCCTGACTGCTTTGTGAAGATTCGCTTTATTTTTATCACTTTATTTATTTGCTTGTTTATTTAGTATACACTCCTCTTCCCATTTGAAGTTGCTTTCAGATAGGGCTCACTTCCTTTTCCTTGCATTCCTGTTTTCTTGCACACTTGGCACTTAATGAAACCTCATTGATCGTTAGAGATTACCTTTGGTGACGAAGGGCGTTGAGTGCCGGACTTGGAGTCAGGAAGATTCGAGTTCTTTTCCTGGCTAGACTCTTATTAGCTGTGTGGTCTGAGCAAGTCCGTTTGCCTCTCCCGGCCTCAGTGGCCCCATCTGTAAAGTGGGGATAATTCTAGCCCCCTCCTCCCAGGGTGGTTGTAAGGATCGAATGAAATCCTTTTTACAACTTTGCAAACCTTAAAGCACTCTATCTGTGGAAACTAGTAGTAGTAGTAGCAGTAGTATCATTATTATGCTTGTGGGAGGTTTACTTTTCACACTTGAATAAAAAGAAAGAAAAATCCCAGGTAGCAGCTGCAGCTTCCATGGGGAAGGCAGGGAGAGGCTTCTCTCTTCCCTTCCCCCTTGGGGTTAGATGCTAAGGAAACTGTTGCTGGGGTGTGGAGTCACCCAGAGTGCCCTTTCCTTCCACCTCCCCTTTTCCCAGTTTCTGTCCCTCCCCATCCCATTAATTACTGAGGGGCTCCCGGTCCCCGTCCAGCCCCCCGTAAATCCAGCAAAGGGGAGAAGACAGGTGTTCAAAGTGTGCAGTCAGCTCCAGTGTTCAGACCTTAGGTGTCTGAACTTGTTTGAAAACCACAACCCGCTGTTGGGAGGAAATACCGGCACAGTTCTTTGCCTTTGTTCATTGTGGGTCCCTAGCCATTGGCTTGAAATTAATTCATTTAATCATTCTTCAGGATAATTGGCTCACATTACTGCTTGAGAGAGATAGAGAGAGAGAGAGAGAGAGAGAGAGTATAGGTTTGGTTCCTGTACTGCTCACCAGATCTGTTACTGACCCAAAGCAGTTTAAAAAACCAAACCAAACCAAAAAGCCTTGAGCTGTGGGCTGGGGAGCAAGCAGATAGAAGCTTTGAGGCTTATTCTAGAGTACTTTTGCATCTGTGCCTCTCCCCCTCCCTAACTGTCCTTCCTAGAAAAAACCAAGGCTTGCCCCAGAGCCAAGGTGGGGGAGTAAGGTGATAGATGATGCTCTCTCCTGTGTAACAAAGTCTAGTGCAATCATGGCCAGAATTCAGTTTAGTTCCACAAGCATTTATGGAGCCCCTCACTGTTCTAGGTGCCAGGGCTACAAAGACAAAAAAGTGACTTAGTCCCTGTGCTTGACTATCCTATGAGAGAGATGTGATATTTAAGCAGGTAAATGTGATCAGGCATCTTTTTATTTGCCTACTTTGTGTCTGCCGAAGTCACAGCAGAGGTCCCTGGAAAGTGGAGTGGGACTTTTCCCGCCACATTGAGTTTTTAATCATGTTGCTGAGATAATGTCCTTACTAGGGTGAGGGGCATCCGAGGAAGCAGCACAGCAGACTGCCCTCCCCCCTACCTCCAGTTCATTGACCTGGCACCCTTAGGGCCACCCCCTCTTGCTACCTCCCGAGTTCCTTCAGAGAGTTGGGAAAGTCAGTGATCTGGATCTTTGAGCAGGCGGAGGGGGCTTATTTATGAGTACAAACTCTGGAGGGTTCCCAGGATGACTCTACCCAACCAGGGTGCACTGTCCTGTAGTGGCGTGGCCTGAGTCCTTTCATGAGGGTTTCGTAGCCAGAACCCTAGGCCTTCGTGTATTCCAGGACCCATCCCACCTTGTACCCTCCCTTGATAGCCTTCCCAGCAGCTTGGATCCAAGGGGGCTTTCCTGGGATCTCTATACCTTTATGTTTTAGGATCCAGGATTTCTCCCCACTTCTGCCCCATTCACCTCACCCCCATGAATTTGCTCCAGGCGTTAGAATTCTTAGTTACAGCTCTGGGAACAAGGACAAGTTTTCTCAATCATAAAATATTTATTAGGTGTTTGCCATATCCCAGGCAGAGCTTTGCCTATGATGTAAAAGGATGACATCTGAAAAAAGTACTGGTTCATTAGTAATTCAGCATGTGATTATTAAGCACTGCCAGTATGCAAAGCACTCTGGAAACTAGGATGAAAGTCCTGCCTTCCAGGAGTTTACATTCTGCTGTGTAGGGTACTGCTCTTACTGAGTTAAGTGAGAATTAGGGAATAGAGGAGGGAGAGGATTCTAACCACTGGGGGATCAGAGAGAGCCTTTGCCAAGCAGGTGGCCCCTGACCTGAGCCTTGAAGGGAAGATGAGCATTCTGAAAGGGTGAGAGGAAGAGGGAAGGCATGCTAGGCGAGGGGCATGGCTTCTTTCAGTGCCTGGGGGTGGGAGATGAACTCAAGACCAAGTCCATGATGGAGCCAGATTGGGAAGGACTTTGAGTACCTGGGTGAGGGATTTGTATTTTATCTCAGAGGCAGTAGAAAGCTGAAGGAATAATAGGTCAGCACTGATAAATGCTTGTTGACTTGGCTTTTTAGGACTGTCTTCCTCCTAAAATTATATATAATTGTAGTTATTGACTTGAATGTTGAATCCCTTAAGTAGAACAAAGGGAAAGGAACTGTCTTGCGTTGGGCATTGTATTTTTGTTGTTCGCTTGTTTTGGTTGCAGCCAGCTCTTTGGGACTCCATTTGGGGTTTTCTTAGAAAAGATATTACTGAAGTGGTTTGCCATTTATTTCTGCAGCTCATTTTACAGATGAGGAAACTGAGGCAAACACAGTTAAATGACTTGCCCAGGGCACACAGCCATATCTTCCTGATTCAAGACCCACTCTATCCATTGTGCCACCAAGCTGCCCTGTTGGTTTTGTATCTCCAGTGCCTAATGTCTCTTATCCTTGAGCTGAATTGACCAGTTCTTTAGGAATTTTATTTTGGCATCCGGGAGCATGGAATGATCTCCTTCTTTACCTGTCCCCCTCAAAACCAGACCATTCTCTTCTTCGTGTGGTCTTTCCTGATCCCTGTAACTGCTGGTGTCCTTCCTGCCAAACTATCCTGTGTCACATTACTTTGTACATGTTTGTATTTATTCACTTTACATTTGTGGTTTAGACTTTTTTGTACTCCATTTGGAATGCAAGCTCTTTGGGAAAAGAGATTGTTTCATTCTTTGTACTTGTATCCATAGTGCCCAGCACATAGTAGGCTCTTAATAAATGTTTGTTGGTTAATAGGAGAGGGAGGAAACCTAGGAGATTAATTAAGAATGCCCGAATAGTCTTGTGAGTTAAGAGAGGGGAAACACTATTGGGAGTAGAATTGGCAGAATGGATGGGAAAGGAGGGGAAAGAGGAAATAAGCATTTATGTAGCACCTACTATGTACCAGGCACAGTGCTAAATGCTTTTACAAATATTACCTTATTTGATTCTCACAACATCCTTGGGGGTAAGGGCTGTTATTATCCCCATTTTGCAGTTGAGGAAACTGAGGCAAAGAGCGGTTTAGTGACTTGCCCACGGTCAGTGAGTGTCTGAGGTTGGATTTGACTTCTGGTCTTCCAGACTCCAGGCCCAGGGCTCTATCTGCTTTGGCACCAGTTGCCTCTAATGGGAGTAACTGATTGTATATGGGGTGAGGCAGAGTAAAGAGTCAAAGATGACCCCAAGGTTATAAACCTGGGTGCTGGGAGGATAATGCTTCCCTCAGTAGAAATAAGTATATTAGCCAGGTATGGTGGCCTGTAACTCGCCCACCTCTGGCTGTGCTAAAGGCTGGCAGATCTCTTGAGTGTGGCTGTGCTTTGTGCCCATCAGGTGTCCTCACTAAGGTTAGCATCAATGTGGTGAGCCCCCAGGAGCACAGGGCCTTCAGGTTGCCTAAGGACCCTGAACAGGCCCAGGTCAAAAGAAGGGGGAACGTCAAAATGCCAATCAGTAGTGGGATCTGGCTTGTGATGATTAGCCTTCCAGCTTGGGTGAGATGGGGAAATCCAGGCTAAAAGAAAAGAAGGAAATTTTGCTCTTGGGAAGGCGGGGAGCTAACTTTTTTTTGTTTAAGGGCACAATAAATATTTGTTAAATAAATGAGTAAAGGCTGTCAGGTTAGGTAAGAAGGGCTTGGCACTTAATGCTTAGTCATCATTTAATATATTGAGCAAGGGGAAAAGGTGTGGCCAGAAATCTAAAGTGAAACTGATTTAGGCTCAAAGGGTAGGGGGACAGATTAGATAGTACTGGAAAGGGACCCACAGGAAAAGATGAGAAGGTAGAGAGCCCAAAACACCCAAACCAGGAACAGTATCTTTGTTAAGATGGAAAACGAGGGCTGTGAATTACCAGGGCTAGAGGATTTCTTTCTCTGACAACAAAATTCATTCTATCTGTATCAGCAAAGCAGTGCTAAAGTGAGTTATTCAGCTGGGGTGGTGGTGGTACCAGTTTCTATAGAATCGGGCATTAATGTGGTGTTTGTTTTAATCGAATTCTACTTGTCATACCTGGAAGGTTGTCCAGTTGTCCAGACTATCTGTATAAAGATAGTCATTGCTGTAATGATGAGGTATTTAATTTTTTTTTTTAAAACCTCTAATTATTTGGGAAACTGAAGTTTACTCACTGTAAAGATATTGTTAGGAATCAGTGCTCTAAATAAAGGTAATAAAGGGGATTGGGAAAGGCTACTTGTGGATTTTAGGTGGGATTTGAAGGAGCCAGGGAATTCAGGAGGCAGAGACGAGCAGGGATGGAGTTCCAGGCATGGGGGACAGACAGGGAAAATACATGGAGTCAGGAGATTGTACTGTCTTTTGTGAAGAACAGCAAGGAATCCAGTGTCGCCGTAAGGAAGAGTAGGTGGAGGGGGGAGTAAGATGTCAGAAGGCTGGAAATGTGGGAAGGAAGCCAGGTTTGATCTGGAGATCAGTTTGGTAACTGGGTGAATGTTGGATTGGAATGGCACGAAACTCAAGGCAAGGAGATCAACCAGGAGTTATTGCAGTAGTCCAGATGGGAAATGATGAAGGCCTGCACCAGGGTGGGGGCAGTGTCCCAGGAGAGAAGGGAGATAAATATATATGTATGTATGTATATGTATATGCACACATATATACACATATATACTCATTTTATATACATACATACATATATATATACACACACACACACACACATAAACACACAAGGTGTTATGAGGGTGAAAATGATAGAACTTTGACAGTTGATTAGCTGTGAGGGGGAAAAGAGTGAGGAGTTGCATATGACCCTTAGGTTATGATCCTGGGTGACTTGGGGGGGATGTGGTGCCCTTTATCAGAGAGGGTCTGGGAGGAAAAGATACTAAGTTTAATCATCCATGAGGAGCACTTAGAGTGAGTCTAGGAAGTTGTTGAGTTGTGTCTAGCTTCATGACCCCATTTAGGGTTTTCTTGGCAAAGATACTGGATTGGTTTGCTATTTCTTTCTCCAGCTCATTTTACAGATGAGGAAACTGGGGCAAACAGGGTTAAGTGACTTGCCCAGGGTCATACAACTACTAGGTGTCTGAGGCCGGATTTGAACTCACAAAGATGAGTCTTCCTGACTCCAGGCCTGGCACTCTATGGACTCCACCATCTAGCTGCCCCTAGAGAGTAAGCCTGCTGGTGTTGGGTGAGAGCCATGGCTTGTTGGGAAGGAAGATCGAAGGATCATATGTTGCTCATTGATTGCTTAAACTCATAATCTTTTCCTCCCAAACCCTCCCTTCTTAGCTTCCCAATTACTGCTGAGGGCACGACCACTATCTTCCCAGTGGCCCCAGATCACAACCTAGGTGTCATATCCATACTTCACTCTCACTCCTCATGTCCAATTACTTGTCAAGGCCTATTAGAATCAATAGGGCCATTGACTCTAACCCCTTCATCTTACAGTTTATTAAACTAGAGGCCCAGAGGGATTAATTGTCTTGTCTGAGGGTTGCTAATGTCGCAAGTGACTGAAATGGTGTTCAGACTCAGCCCCGTGCCTTCTCCATGTACCCACACTGCCTCACAAGGTAGAGAAAGCATAGAGCGCTTAAGGGAGCCAGGCTGAGGTTGGTAACTGGCAGGGACTCTTTGTGGGGCCTACATTAGTAGGTAGACTATTATGTGACTGGATATAGTAAATGTGAACCCTGTAAGTCAGGGACTGACGGTATGTGATAGACGAGGATTCCATCTCAACAAAACAAATGCATCTGACAAGATTACTCATTTTTATTTTTAAATTTTGGACTTAAACGACAAAAAAAGAAAGCATTTCCATGTACACAGCAGAATGCAAAAAGAGGATGGTGTATAAAACTGAGAATCTCCATTTCATATATGTCACTTGCTTTAAAAAATATGATTATTTTCCAACATGCATATTTTAAAATGTTTAACTTTCCCCCCTCCCCCACCTTTTGGGGCTTCATTAGTCCAGCCCTTTCCTCCAACTAAATTAAAAAGAAAAAAAAATTTGCAACAAATAAGCCTAGTTAAGGAAGACGAATCCACACATTGGCAAAGTCCAAAAGCATGTCTCTTTCTGCATCTCCTTATGAGAGTTTTTAAACCTATGTTTTCTGTAGTCCTTCAGGCTCCCCACAGCACCCCCTGGAAGGTGAATAGTGAAGAAGGTGGACATTCCATCTGGGTCTTCCAGCCTGTAACACTTATGGGCAGATTTTTCTCTCTTTTTAAAAAAAGAGAAATTAGATTCCTTGGTTAGCACCAAAAAAAAAAATCCTGGGCATGAATTTCTTCCGGTGTTTTCTGTAGGGTACTGTTTCCCTGCCTTATGAGGAAAAGCACTGTAGTCAACATCATGATGTAGATGCAGAGACCACCACAGTCGGTTATCTGGTTCAAATCTCAGCTTTGCAGTTCAGTTCCTCTTTGGAGAACAAATTTCTTCATCTGTTAATGATTGACCTTCTAAAGTCCTTGTACCTATGAATCTAAAAGTCTACCACTTCTTAGCTGCAGGGCCCTAAGTAAACCATATCAGCTTGTATTGCCTACCTTACAGGTGATTGTGAATCTTTGGTGAGATAAATACAAGGTTGTGTCAAAAGTGTTTGTGCAGCTAATATTAATAGCTTAATTAAGCTATTAATTTAATATGGTACTTTGTAACCATGTGTAAGTACAAACTGTTATTGTATACATATATACTATGTATACACACACATTCATACATACACACATACACAAACACGCACACTTGGGCCAGACCTGTGATTTCAGTGGTATAGGAATTCCTGATGAAGAAATTCTCTCTACCAATGCAACTTGACTCCTGCTCTGCAATCTGAGGTCATAGAGAGCTGCTTTTTGGTGGGCACTAAAGGGAAGGGAAGAGAATATGCATTTATTAAGCACCTACTATGTGTCAGGCATTGTGCTAAGCACCTTTACAAACACTATTTCATTTGATCCTCACAACAACCTTGCGAGGTAGGTACTATTATTATCTCCATTTTACAGATGAGAA